CAAACATAAGAAGACAATAACAAACATTGGAGACAGTGACAAACATAAGAAGACAATAACAAACATTGGAGACAGTGACAAACATAAGAAGACAATAACAAACATTGGAGACAGTGACAAACATAAGAAGACAATAACAAACATTGGAGACAGTGACAAACATAAGAAGACAATAACAAACATTGGAGACAGTGACAAACATAAGAAGACAATAACAAACATTGGAGACAGTGACAAACATAAGAAGACAATAACAAACATTGGAGACAGTGACAAACATAAGAAGACAATAACAAACATTGGAGACAGTGACAAACATAAGAAGACAATAACAAACATTGGAGACAGTGACAAACATAAGAAGACAATAACAAACATTGGAGACAGTGACAAACATAAGAAGACAATAACAAACATTGGAGACAGTGACAAACATAAGAAGACAATAACAAACATTGGAGACAGTGACAAACATAAGAAGACAATAACAAACATTGGAGACAGTGACAAACATAAGAAGACAATAACAAACATTGGAGACAGTGACAAACATAAGAAGACAATAACAAACATTGGAGACAGTGACAAACATAAGAAGACAATAACAAACATTGGAGACAGTGACAAACATAAGAAGACAATAACAAACATTGGAGACAGTAACAAACATAAGAAGACAATAACAAACATTGGAGACAGTGACAAACATAAGAAGACAATAACAAACATTGGAGACAGTGACAAACATAAGAAGACAATAACAAACATTGGAGACAGTGACAAACATAGAAGACTGTAACCAACTTAGGAGACAGGGACACACTTTGACGACAGTGACAAAATTGGGCGAAAGTTAACCGTTATGAAATAAAAACTAAATTAAGACAAACTCAAGATGTTGAGAGGAACCCTGGGCTGGTTTCTACTCTTCCCATCCCCCACCAAAAAAATTCTATATACATAAATGTAAATATAAAGTGTAACTAGGTACATTGGAACTGCTTCTCTACATTTTGGTTTGTCTACCACTTGTGACACCCATGTTAACAGTCTTCGTAATAGTAAGGACGTGCCTCTCTTTTTGCCACTCTTGGCTAAATCATACACATGCCTTTCAGCGCTTTCTAACAAGAAGAGCTGAGTTGGATAGACAGATAGACAGAGAGAGAGAGAGAGAGAGAGGAGAGAGAGATCAAGAGAGATAGATAGAGAGATAGAGAGATAGAGAGATAGAGAGATAGAGAGATAGAGTAAGAGAGAGAGAGAGAGATAGAGAAATAGAGAGATAGAGAAATAGAGAGATAGAGAGAAAGATAGAGAGAGAGAGAGATAGAGAGAGAGAGAGAAAGAGATAGAGAGATAGAGAGATAGAGAGAAAGAGAGATAGATAGATAGATAGATAGATAGATAGATAGATAGATAGATAGATATATAGATAGATAGATAGATAGATAGATAGATAGATAGATAGATAGATAGATAGATAGATAGATAGATAGATAGATAGATAGATAGATAGATAGATAGATAGATAGATAGATAGATAGATAGATAGACAGATAGACAGATAGACAGATAGACAGATAGACAGATAGACAGATAGACAGATAGACAGATAGACAGATAGACAGATAGACAGATAGACAGATAGACAGATAATAGATGGATAGATGGATGGATGGATGGATGGATGGATGGATGGATGGATGGATGGATGGATGGATGGATGGATGGATAGAAAAATGACTAGAAAAGTATTTTAAATTATCAGGAGGCAAATCAGCAGTGTATTGAGTTATTCTAATTTTCAAATAAATTCACAGTTTTAAACAGAGTATATGGAATTTTTTTTTATTTTTTTTGCATTATAAATGGTACTGTAGCTTGGGATAAACTGAAGAAATGTGATGATTGTCCTATAAAGCGCATATCTATATATCCACAATGCATATACATATATATAATTACACCCAGTTTTGCTACTCTCAATACAAGTAAGTACATGGAGGATTGTACGTTGCTAATGTATATAACTCAAATTTATAACGTCATCTCAAATCTGGCTATCAACTCTAACATTGGGCAATCTGATTTTCATATTGTTTATAAATTGTCTAAATTGTGTATTAAGACTTAATTTGAACTTAGGTGTAACGGAAAGTAGCCCATTGACACTTTTCACACGACCTGCCATCTAAATAAGGCTCTTGACAATTCATTTATTAGAATACTTCACCTAAAACTGTCACAGCAAGCTTTGTATCAGATCAATATTTCCAGACTGCTTCGAATCTCTGCGTAAATATTGGTGCCTGATATGCATTAACTGCCTCGTTTTAAAGAACGTCATGATAACGTCATGTAATTGGTGTGTGTTTGTTAGGAAGAGCAGTTTCGAGGTCATGATGTGGGTTACATTGGGAGACGCCTGTGAATCATATGAAAATTGCGTTATATGCATCGGAAATGAAGTCATGTGTTTGATTCGCCTCTGATATGTTACGACTTCCCCTGTAATATTGTGATGCATCTCTCTTCGTGAGACTTATCACACCATGGCACCCTTGTCACAATATGGCGCTTCTGGCACATTATCGCACCTTGTCACAGTGCGGCGCTCTATCGAATTATAGCGCATCTTTCACTTTACGGTGCTCTTGCCATACTATGGCCCCCTTGTCACAAATGGCGCCCCTGTCATACTACTACGCCCCTGTTAAATGTTCGCCCACCTTGATTTTGAGAAAGCATTAATTTGACACTTCCGGCACTAGTAAAAAGTAACAAAATTGTGTGTGGGGATGTGCTGAATAAATTCTTTATAAAGAAAATCAGCTCTGAGATGTCTAGCGCTTATGAATAACTTACACCAGAGGTTCTCAACCTCTGGGTCATGACCCCTTTAGGGGGGTCATACGACCCTTACACAGGGGTCACCTAAATCCATCGTGAAATATTCATTTAGGAAGTAGCAACGAAAAAAAAAATTAAGGTGGGTGTCACCACACCATGAGGAACTGTCTTAGAGGGTCGCTTCATTTGGAATGTTGAGAACCACTGGATCACACCTAGTATTTTGTCTCGCCGTTTCATGTGATGTTACTCTGAGAAGTTGTCTGAGGTTATAACATATTCGTTATGTTTTGCAACATTGAAATCTCCTAACAATTAAAAGCCTCTAGCTCAGAAAGGCTGTTATCATAAAAAAAAATAATTAAATTTTAAAAAAAAGTAATTTATGATTAAACAATTGGTTAATATTAGAAATAGTCATTACCCAATGGCCTACCACTTTGCATAGATTTTTTGTTCAAATGGCTGTTAACTGGAAGAGATGCTACTCTGGAAGGCTCCTTTGTGTCGCATACTCATGCTGCCCTAACAGATCATCATGACGTCACCCAACAAATACTGCCAATTTTAGTTGATAAAAAGAGAGATCAAAAACACCAGTGATCCCATGAATTGTACACATTCCTTCTGGAATCATATGAAGGCCTGGCAGAAGAAGAGCTCCTATTTGTTAGTCACGTGAGGGTCCGATGATGGACTTATCATTGGTGTTGACTGTCCGTGCATCCTGTCCAAATTTGTCTAGCATTTGAATTCCTATGGCGTGTAATATTTATAACGGGGGGTGAGCGTCACTGAGCCGTGTAATCTGAGCAATATTACAACACCGGGGGCACGCTTCAAACAGGTAAGCAAAATAACGTCTATGAATTGTAACTACAGTTCCAGGTGTAGATGGCGCTGCAATATTCTGTTCATGACATCAATATAGGTTGTTCGTTAATTGGTAAATTGTGATTCTAAGTAATCACATGTCTTTATCTCTAGTTCCACGGGGATGTCTTTGCCACAAGATATCTTTGTCTCTACTGCCACACGATGTATTTGTGTCTAATGCCAGAAGATGTCTTTGTCTCTAGTGTACACAAGATGTCATTGTCTCTAATGCCCAAAGGTTTCTTGTCTCTACTGCCACAAGATGTCTTTGTCTCTAATGCCACAAGATGCCTTGTCTCTAATGCCACATGCTGTCTTAGTCTTCAGAGCCACAAGATTTCTTTGTCTCTACTGCCAAACCATGTTTTTGTCTCTACTGCCACAAGATGTGTTTGTCTCTACTGCCACGCGATGTCTTTGTCTTCAGTGCCACACTATGTCTTTGTCTCCAGTGCCACAATATGCCTTTATCTCTAGAGCCACATGACATCTAACTGTGACAATTTACCTGACGCACACAAGCCATTATGAGTATGTCCACCATTATACAATCCACCAATCATGTTGCACTATGCCACCGTCAAAAGCGTTGTTTGTTTACACATATCAAAACACGGCAGCTAAACATTGAATTTCTTAAGCAAACAGTTTTTTAATGATAATTTCTGAGCGTGAACTAGCTAAAGGGAGGAAAGACGTTTTCAAACAGGAATCAAGTCAGACGTGTCAATATGAAATATGCTTGATCCAATCAATGGGGTTTTAATCACTCAATTTTTGCGGCGGTATTTTTATAAATATGATTGGACAAAAAGATTAACTGGCGATAGTCCCCCTTGCAATTTAATTTTGTTTTAGTTCAACGAGGCAAGGTCAAGTCAAGAAATTGGAGTATTTTGCCATTATTCCATAAACGATAAATCTTTTTTTACGTATATTTGTGAACCATTGAAATAATTGATAATCAATAATTATAAATATTCTGCATTATTAAATATATTTTTGGGGTCCAATTAAATATTTTTTTCAGTAAACAATGTACAAGCCTCTCGAACAGTGTACAACCCTCTCAAAAAAAAAAAACATAGAATTTAATCTATAATAAGTTATTTTTTTCTAGTTTAGATTGTCTTCTGCAGACATTTTCATTCGGCACAAATTACGATTGACAACCTGGCCGCTTAAAGAAAAAAGAAAACACCGATGAAATGGATAGGTTATACTTTTCAGCAGGAGATGAGAACGAGACCTGGGCCATCACTTTCATCTGCATACTCTTGGCACCAATCACTGTTGTCGGTGCTGTCGGCAACGTCTTAAGCATCAAAACATTTTTCCGCCTTGGAATCTCAGACGGCGTGAATCTGTCCCTGCTGTCGTTGGCAGCGTCCTATCTCTTCTACCTCATCACAGCGTTGATCACCGCCATCAGCTTGATGTTCCTTGGTGTGGAGGAACTCTCCGGTTACAAAGTTCGTTTCGCCCTAGACCCGGAAACGTTCCTCATGATCTCTACTAACACCGGAAGTGGCTTCTACGCCACCTCAATGCTCGTGACGACGTTCATCACCGTGGTTCGATGTCTGGCTGTTGCCCGCCCTTTAAAATATAGAAATTTGATCTCAAGGAAAACCACGGCCATAATTTTATTATTTTTTACCGTTCTATCTGTAATATCCGCTGTTTTGATGTTGATTTTTGTCGATATTCTCCCTCAATTCGGCTCTAAAACCAACACAACAAGACCAACACCTTGGCTCTCACCACAACAAGCTCTTATCAAGGATGTCATTTTTGGAATAAGAGACATGATCTTACCGCTGACGTCTCAAATAATAGTTGGTATTTGCGTGGTCATCATGGCCAGATATCTCCATAAAGCTTCTAATTTTCGTAAAACAATTTCAAGTAATATTGACACTTTAACAAAAATTTCTATGGTCGCAGATCCCCATACAAGAAATGTAACTAACAATCCTGCATCAGCCAAGGTGGCTGGCAAAGAAATTCAAGTGGTTCAACAGATGCTGCTCATAGCCGTAGTCTACAGTTTGTGTAACATGCCAAAAGTCGTCTTTAATATGACACAAATTATTTTGCCCGAATTCTACACGGGTGGCCGCTACAGTGCTTTGTTTTCAACGTTCAATTTTTTAAGAGAACTAATTCAGTCGGTGAATGCCAGCGTGACCATTTTCATTTACTGGAAGTATAATTCAAAGTTTCGGAATCACTTCGTTCTTCAACACTGAGTGTTTACGCAGTCCTTACATTCTTTACGACTGAAGATAATATAAGCCTTGCAAATAGATCACGCCAACTTGACCAAAAGATCACGCTAACCTGGCAAAGCAATCACGTTTACCTGGCAAAAGGATCACGTTAACTAGACCAAGATACCACACCCCCTGAACAATAGAAACGTAAAATCACACCAACTTGACTAAATGATAAGATCAAAAAATATCATGTGAACTCATCCAATTCATTACGTCATCCTGGTATATAGATCACGTCAACCTGAACAACAGATAACGTCAAAGTATCAATGCATCACGCCAACCTGTTCAATGGATCACGTCAGTCTGGCAAATAGATCACGTTGTCCCCACCAAAAGATCATGTCACCTGACCGAAAGATCTCGTGAACCTGAGAAGCAGATCCCATCAAAGTGACCAATAGATCCCATCAAAGCGACCAATAAATCCCATCAAATTGACCAATAGATCCTGTCTTATTTTGTCGATCACAGTGCTGTATGGATATCGCTTTCTTATTCAAGAATTTATCCAAATCTTGTGAAAATACATGTGACATTTGAACAACACAAACCGTTTCAGTCAATCTTATTCACCAGGGGTACTCAAAGTCTGGCCCGTGGGCTAGATTAGGCCCACCTGAGATTGCTGGAAGTGTAAACAAAAAAAAAGCATTCATGATTTATTATGTATGTAGCGCTAAAATATCATTTAAAAAAGGAATCTTCCATGATTTAGAAAGACTCATAACTAACTCCCGTAATATTGAAACTAATTGTGACAAACAGCCAAGTCCAAAACAAAAAATCTGGTCCTTGGGAGGAAAAGTTTGAGTACCCTTGTTATTCAAGAAAGATAATGGTGTTTAAATGATTGAAAAAATTGTGTGGTGGGAGGACAACTGCCTCCATAGTAGAGAGCTTAACGATCAGGAGCCCCACATCCAGTGGCGTAGCTAGAGCAGTGTTTCACAACGTGGGGCCCCACGCCCCACAGGGTGGTGATTTTTATTTTTTAAAGTGTGGGGGGGGGGGGTTGGGTGGATTCTAAAATACGCTTTCTATCATTTGAGCAACTAACCATCTACAATGATTAAGTTTGTATTTTAAAAGGAGAATCGTTAGAGTATAGATGAAAAATGAATGTCCGTTAAATGTGTTTGGAAAACTCAGTTGATTTTAGTAGTATTCATTAGTATCCGCTGTCAAAAAATTATAATTAGAGATGGTACGTTTTCTGTTGTTGTTTTTTTTTTTGTGTAAAAATAAGTTTGTATAAACATTTAATAGTAACTAAAAATGTATATATAAAAGTTTAATAGTAACAAAAGATGTGTATATACACAATTAGTTGCAACCAAAAAAGTGTATATAAACGTTTAATAGTAATAAAAATGTGTATATAAACATTTAAAAGTAACACAAATGTGTGCAAAGATATTAAGAGGTAAGTATTTTTTTTTAAAGTTTTCCATTTTTTTTTTTTTTTTTTTCCATTTTTTTTTTTTTTTTTCGTAATTTTTTTTCACCCTCACAGTAACATGAACAGTGAAAGAAAAAGTCTTTCAACCTTACAGTAACCTGAGCAGTGAAAGAGAAAGTCTTTCAACCTCACAGTAACATGAGCAGTGAAAGAGAAAGTCTTTCAACCTCACAGTAACATGAGCAGTGAAAGAGAAAGTCTTTCAACCTCACAGTAACATGAGCAGTGAAAGAGAAAGTCTTTCAACCTCACAGTAACATGAGCAGTGAAAGAGAAAGTCTTTCACCCTCACAGTAACATGAGCAGTGAAAGAGAAAGTCTTTCAACCTTACAGTAACATGAGCAGTGAAAGAGAAAGTCTTTCAACCTCACAGTAACATGAGCAGTGAAAGAGAAAGTCTTTCAACCTTACAGTAACATGAGCAGTGAAAGAGAAAGTCTTTCAACCTCACAGTAAAATGAGCAGTGAAAGAGAAAGTCTTTCAACCTTACAGTAACATGAGCAGTGAAAGAGAAAGTCTTTCAGCCTCACAGTAACATGAGCAGTGAAAGAGAAAGTCTTTCAACCTCACAGTAAAATGAGCAGTGAAATAGAAAGTCTTTCAACCTCACAGTAACATGAGCAGTGAAAGAGAAAGTCTTTCAACCTCACAGTAACATGAGCAGTGAAAGAGAAAGTCTTTCAACCTTACAGTAACATGAGCAGTGAAAGAGAAAGTCTTTCAACCTCACAGTAACATGAGCAGTGAAAGAGAAAGTCTTTCAACCTCACAGTAACATGAGCAGTGAAAGAGAAAGTCTTTCAACCTCACAGTAACATGAGCAGTGAAAGAGAAAGTCTTTCAACCTCACAGTAACATGAGCAGTGAAAGAGAAAGTCTTTCAACCTCACAGTAACATGAGCAGTGAAAGAGAAAGTCTTTCAACCTCACAGTAACATGAGCAGTGAAAGAGAAAGTCTTTCAACCTCACAGTAACATGAGCAGTGAAAGAGAAAGTCTTTCAACCTCACAGTAACATGAGCAGTGAAAGAGAAAGTCTTTCAACCTCACAGTAACATGAGCAGTGAAAGAGAAAGTCTTTCAACCTCACAGTAACATGAGCAGTGAAAGAGAAAGTCTTTCAACCTCACAGTAACATGAGCAGTGAAAGAGAAAGTCTTTCAACCTCACAGTAACATGAGCAGTGAAAGAGAAAGTCTTTCAACCTCACAGTAACATGAGCAGTGAAAGAGAAAGTCTTTCAACCTCACAGTAACATGAGCAGTGAAAGAGAAAGTCTTTCAACCTCACAGTAACATGAGCAGTGAAAGAGAAAGTCTTTTAACCTTACAGTAACATGAGCAGTGAAATAGAAAGTCTTTCAGCCTCACAGTAACATGAGCAGTGAAAGAGAAAGTCTTTTAACCTTACAGTAACATGAGCAGTGAAAGAGAAAGTCTTTCAACCTCACAGTAACATGAGCAGTGAAAGAGAAAGTCTTTCAGCCTCACAGTAACATGAGCAGTGAAAGAGAAAGTCTTTCAACCTTACAGTAACATGAGCAGTGAAATAGAAAGTCTTTCAACCTCACAGTAACATGAGCAGTGAAAGAGAAAGTCTTTCAACCTTACAGTGACATGAGCAGTGAAAGAGAAAGTCTTTCAACCTTACAGTAACATGAGCAGTGAAAGAGAAAGTCTTTCAACCTCACAGTAACATGAGCAGTGAAAGAGAAAGTCTTTTAACCTTACAGTAACATGAGCAGTGAAATAGAAAGTCTTTCAGCCTCACAGTAACATGAGCAGTGAAAGAGAAAGTCTTTTAACCTTACAGTAACATGAGCAGTGAAAGAGAAAGTCTTTTAACCTTACAGTAACATGAGCAGTGAAAGAGAAAAAAATGTGGCAGTATTCGGTGTATTATTTGAAATTGGAAATGATAACCCCCTGGCCATGATGAACGGTCAACTTTTTTTTTTTTTTTAAGACAATGCTTGTCTAACGACTCAATGAAACTAGGCCGTCTTGGGGTACCTTTGAAGGTCAAATATAGAGCTTATATTAAGTCAGATTTAAATTACTTTCTCATTTTAAAGAACAATTTTTTGAGAAAAAAAACCCTTCAAATTTCTGTTGACTGCTCATACTGAAACTGTCACTCCCACTCTTGGGGTTAGTTATGACATTTCTTGACTCATGGCTAAATCTTGGGGAAATCATGCTAAAGGAGAGTATTTAATCAAACCATCGATATCAGCATTTATTAAAACAGTTCTGGAAAAAGATGACAAAGAATTGATAGCTATGCCTTTCAGCAACAATACTGTTATCAGAAGAATATATGAAATTTGTGTATATAGAACTTGTTGAAAAGCTGAAAACAAAAGAATTATCAGTGTAAAATGGATGAATCAACTTTGAGCGACAATGAGGCCGTACTCGTAGCATACGTATGATATATTAATAAAGGAGATTTTGAAGAAGAAATGTTGTTCTGCAAATCATTAGAAAGCACAACTACTGCCAAGATATATATAATATTTTTTTTAGACACCAAACAATGTGTGTCAATGTAACAATATAAGATAAACTTTAATAATAATTTTACAGAATACAAGAGTGCACGTCTAGGCACATGCCTTCATCAGTACAACAAAAAGACAATTAAATAAGTATAAATTAAATTTACATAACATATATTTATATACAGATATCCTACTTAAAAGAGGGGAGAAAAAATAGGAGTGGACAAAAAAAACAGACAGAAACGAAGTAGAGAAAGTGTAAAGGAAGTGATTTGAACAAAATTGTAAAAACCAAACAGGAAAAAGACATGGCAGCTAGGTAAAATTGTGGATTTGGTTTATTCCATATGGAGACAACGTAACAAACCGTGTTAATAATTTATACTCCATGTAAATACTATCTGTTGTGCTACTAGTATACAGTATACCAGTAAAGGCGATGTTTAAGATTGATTAATGGTTAGGGCTTTTGAAATGTTTGAAGACCGGGCAGAGAGCTTGTTTATTTATGTTAAAGAGGTGTTCTCTGAACTGGTCCCCAAAACGACGACCTGACTCTCTCTCCTACACTTTTTGACCTGAACTTTTTGCAAATGATGGTGTAAATCACGTTGCGACTTGTGCAGGTAAAGCCATCTTTTATTCTGAACATTTTCCGAGGGAAAGTGATCTTATCACATTCAAATCACATAGGGACATGTCTTGCAACGGCTACGGTTGCAACTTTTGGCGCCTTTATGTGCTTTGATGGTGGCTTTTAACTAGCATATCCCTAAGGCTCTTATCTCTCCGAAATGCGAAAAGATGAGGTTTTCTGAAAATCTCATTGGTGGCCGGGTCCACCTTAAGATTCGAACTGTTTTTCAGACCCAGAAAACGAGCTTTAAGGTTGTGGGGATGAAAAGTTAAAATAAATTTAGACCTATGCATACCGTCAAAATGAGTGGCATTAAAAGAATCCCGTCTTGGCATGACTTTAACTCGAGTGACAGCTGCTTTTAACATT